ATATATAAACAGATATATAAAACAGGTTTACCCATATATAATGTTTACAGCATACTGGTTACTATACAAATTAAGCAGTAACTTCGTCGGATAATTGTCGTATTCAACAGTAGCTTTGCTACATCGTTTTAAACGTCAACAGTACATAAATTACAGATCATGAAATTAGCTTGTTATCTCAAACTGATATGTCGACCTAAATTAAATGAGAAAACGCGCCACGTATTTAAACAAATCAGTGATTGTCCTTCCCACACTTTGCGCGCGCTTCGGCACCCCAAACCGATAGCATGGCCATGGAACAATTCTCAGCTGTTGCTGATCAGGTAAAAACACATGAGGGTTCGATAAGTAGGATCCTGTTGCTCGGTTAACAGTGAGTTTATTTTATTAACGTTTATATTTGTAAATCTATTGATGTCAATTCATCTTCATCTTGCAGGCGTATAACTAATTTAGAGCGAATTGTATTACGGATAAAAACAGACTAACTTCGTATATGGAATAGTAACATTCACACGAACAGATTCCTCTCAATAGCTATAAAAAAAAAAATTTATCATCTATGATCGGATGAAAAAGGCTTGAAATTAACCAAGAGCATGCACGTCAATTGGTTCAATCAAATGTCAAATGGTCACACTTTATTTTTAGCTGTCATTATTTGAAAGAGTAACAGAGGTTTTTTCACTGTTAGAAGAATTGTGCACTAACTGGCATCTCGAATCCTCTCCTAGATGAGCTCGCGACCGGAACACTGCAACTTTAAACCGAAAACGCTTGAGGACTTACTTAAACTCAATTTTGATGATACGAAAACGGTCGTTACATCTCAGGTATACAAAAGCATCAATGAAGGCTTCGACAAGCAGTACACTCATTGCTGCAATGGAGTGTATTACTGTAAAGTTGTATTATGAAGCAAAAACAAGAGCTTCCATTTGATTTCCAATCTTTTCAGGCAAACAGTCTGATTAACGAACTTCTGGTTGAGATGGTTCTGGAATTCGCCGCAAGAGCACGCGAGCAAGCCGACGTGGAGAGTGGCCAAAGTGTTTCAGTCGAACATCTGGAAAAAGTGTTGCCTCAAGCGATGCTTGACTTTAATTAAAGTTGGCTTTAATTGGCCATTATAGAGTAACTGGTATAATAAGACATGTTTTTATACTATCGTTATGCTTAATTTGGCCATTGTAGGTTAGATTGTTCCGATGTTTTGTTGTGCGTCGGAATCGTGAAAATAGGTTACATAAAATAAACTTATTTTTAATAAGATGAAATTGTGTGTTGTTTATCGATTGAACAAGGTAGAAGCCGAGTAAAACAGATATTCTGTTAAACAGACGGCTTCCATTCTGAGGACGCATCAGCCAATGGTCTCGTTCAGTTCAATAATTTGGGGCATCAATATAAACGTTCTCAAGTTTTCTGTTTAGACGGCTTGATATTGAATAAAATTCGGCAGAGTGACAAATCTAAGTAAGCTGCTGTCACTCTGCGGAAGTAAGCGTGTCGACCAAATGTAAGAAACAGCCTAATTTGAAAATTCGTTAAAAAGTCCGCCAAGTGCTTAGCGACATACTAATGGCTTGCGAAGTGTCTGTTGTGATGAAAGCGAACGGTGGACTTTTCGAATCGCTATCGTCATTTGCAGTGTTTTACTGTGTCTGTTAGTTAGAGTAGAAATCGGCAACACAGCATAATTAGAACGTTAAACAATATAATATATATTTAAACGTAAAAATAATATCGTATAAACTAAGTAGTCTAATACGTTTATAATTATTTTCTCACTGGTCTTATCGCTATATTTCATCAAAATACTTCTGCTACACAAACCAAGTCCCAGAAATTAATTTCATATCTCTATTGAATTACCCATGCGCCCAAAAGTTATAGAGCTCACTCAATGTGAAATGTCGCAAACCAATAGGCTTAATTCGAGATTCTAGCGCATTTTCGAAAGACAAACAAACTATGTGCCGCTGACCGATCAAGTTGCCAACTTTCTTATAATGGATTTGCGTGGATGATGAAAAAAGTTACACTGAATAACAACTACAAACCTTGAGATATCATTATTTTGATTATGCTGTTTATGCTATTACAAACCAAATCGCCGTGAGATGGTGTTCCGTTAAGTCTAAAATTGAAAAAGCTTTCTCGAAAAGGTTCGTCTTTAACTGTTCTGCGAAACTTTTGGTAAAAAACGCCAGGTCTTTTCGGTATTATTCGTATTTCAAAGTCAGGTGTGTATTTAACAATATTAATATCCAATTATAAAATTCTTTAAAATTTCAATTCCTTTTTTGATCTTACACTGTTCGCTAAATTTACTCTTTGTGGGGGCAGCAGCCGAAAGGAATGTTTTGAAAACAATTATGGAGAAATCAAACGCTGATGCTGTGAAGTCCAGTGATCTATTTCTGGCAAATTCCATTGTGCCGTTACTAGAGCCGAGGCCTCTTACATATAAAAAAGCATCGTACACGTATTTAACGAGCCTACGCTTCTGCAATTTTCTATTGACCTGCCATCAGTCATCACCCGGGTTCTAATGCCTAATGGCCCGCCAAAAATTTAAAAGTTCTCTCCTCCCGTCTTTCCACAAATTCAGGCGGGTTTTCATGTCATAAACACTCACTGAATGAGCTTTTAGCTGGCGGTTTAGAAAACTACTAAGAAATAGGTGCCACCTACCTATTATCATTACGACGAACACGGTGAATAGTTACTTGGACAGTAGTGCTCTTTTTACAGTTAAGGCCTTCATATTTTTTGTCTAACAAACGCCTGGTACGCAATTCCGATTCATCGCAACCATTTAGGTTTCCAAATACTGTTATAAATACGTTTAGAGTGGAACAATTGAAATTAAAACTTATAAAAACGAATATATATGTAGCATATGTGATTTACATTTATGTACATGAGTGAACTGTACCTAACGTAGGACGTCATACGCAGTATTTATCTACAGTACTTAGCCTTTCTTGTTGCACTGTACTTAGCCGCTGCCCAATATATGTACGATAAGCAGTTTCTATTTAAACAAAGTCGATAAATGGGAGATCTGTCATGAACCATGCTCCTACCTTCATATGGGAAAAATAGAATATTGCATATAATCCAAACGAATAGCGTGAGTGAGAGTATCTCCATATCTCAAAATCTTAACAAAATAACATGAATATAAAAGTGAAATATTTTGGTAGCTTTACTTGACTTCTGTAAACCGCGTTATAAACCGTGATTTTAGTGCTATACGTGAAATTTTTCCCAAAGACTCGTATTTGCTGAATATGATCTGTGCATTTTAGGACAGTGGAGGACGTGGATAGGATGAAATTATTAGAAGATTACATCTGTAGTATGCGAGCAGTTCCATTTGTTCTAGAAAGATGTTCACAGATTTAATTTATGTAGATGATTGTATTATTTATTTATGTAAGTACGTGATACTTGCTTTGAGTTTTCATGAGCTGTTAGTGTCTTTTCTTACGTTACCAACAACAGAATGTTGGTCTTATTTTAGCTGCTGAAAGTTTTGAGTTCTTGACAGAAGTCAAGTAAAGCTACCAAAATATTTTACTTTTATGTTCATGTCATCTTATAAAGATTTTGAGATATGAAGATACTCTCTCTCACGATATCCTTTTTGATTATATGCAATATTCTATTTCTCCCATATGAAGGGTAGGAGCATGGTCCATGACAGATCTCCCACTTATCGGCTTTGTTCAAATAGAAACTGCTTAGCGTACAGGTACTGGGCAGCAGCTAAGTACAGTGCAACAAGAAAGGCTAAGTACTGTAGATAAATACTGCGTATGACGTCCTACGTTAGGTATAGTTCATTCATGTACATAAATGTAAATCACATATGCTACATATATTCGTTTTTATAAGTTTTAATTTTACTGCTTTTGTGGATGTGTAAACTAATCATGCTCAGTTTACATTATGACACACTTATCCGTTAATGAGTGGCCTAAGGTAAACAGCAAGGCTATGACATCAAAGGCCAAATGTTTCAGTCCTGCATGGCACGTGCGAACAAACGTAGTCTTGGATGCGAAGACTGGCAAGCTGATTTTTGTTAGGCTGTTGCCTTTTAAATTATTTGTTGTGATAATGTAGCGTAGTCTTACGCAACAAGTAACTACACACGAACTTTTTTTTAGCATAATCAGCTTTAAAAATACTATTTTTTGTAAATGTCGTTTTTTCGAAGTACTCCCAAATGCTGACTGGAGGCTTTCTTATTTGACTTTATATTTGTGAGTGACTTTTAGTGTATGTTTTTTGAATGGCATTAGGTGTCAAATTTGGAATTACGAAATAATTCAACAAGTTAAATTAACTTGTAGAGCCTATTACCCCAATATTACGGTTAATAACTTTTTCTTTGTTCATGGGTGGCATCTTAAAATGATGGTGGACACACAAATGTGTCATAATTTTTTAAATGTCGAAGTTTTTAAGTAGGCCTTTCAGGACTAATCAGGTATTTATCGTTTTTTTTGTGATATATTCTTGGTAACGTTTTATAGGTGGGCATGTATATCGTATGCTGACGGAAAGGATATAAGTAGGTCATGCACAGAGGCCTAATCCGCAGGTGGAAGTGTGAAAACGTGATAATTACGGGGACAAGGTGGTGAGGTTCAAGAGCTCTGATCTGATTTTTAAGGAAAAATTGGCGGACGTTGAGGCAAAGAAAGATAGTGTGTACGGCAAAAGAAATTGCTGGGTATCACGACTTAAACTTCAGGATATATCTACGGCTTTTCGCTATTTGAAACAACTAACGTGTAAGAGCAATGCAAAGGTCTAACCGATTAGCGGCGGAGCTTCATCAAATGGCCACCTCGTTACCTGCAGGAATTGTGTGCTCTCAGGCTGCCGATGATGAAATCGGCCACCTTGAAGCCATAATTGACGGTCCTCCGGACTCCCCCTACGAAGGAGGGCGCTTTCATGTCGATTTACGTCTACCTGTTCGTTATCCCTTTGAACCCCCTGCGCTGCGAGTCATCACACGAATTTTCCATCCGAACATAGATCCGCAAGGCAGAGTATGCCTTTCCGCTATACAATTGCCACCGAAGGGCACGTGGAAGCCTGCACTGAATGTCTGTGCAGTCCTAACGTCACTACGGGCTATTATAGCTCAACCAACGGCAGAGGACCCATTGATGGCGGACGTGGCTGAGCTTCTACAGAATGATCGAGCCGAATTTGATAGAACCGCAAGAAAATGGACGCAAATGCATGCAATGCAAACTAACAAGACGGAGGGTTCAACCTCTAGCGCAGAAAAAAAGTCGTTATGAGTGGAAATTAGGTTATCTTCGATAAAGATATTCGCTAGTGTAGTAGATGTACTCGTATTACAAAGGATTCACGTATCAAAAAATAGGTTCCAGTTCACCTTTAGCCTTTCGTATTAATGAAAAACATTTTTCGAAGAAAAAGCAAAACCATTCAGTTCATTGCTAAACGAATAGATCATATCACTAATAAAACATCGATAATATGTTGTTTTTATTAGACGATGGATAGAAGCTCAAACGTGTTATAACAGGTACATAACCCTGAATCGGAAAAACCTAATTTTTTCATATATTTTTTTGATAATAAATGAACTGAATGAAATGAATAGAAAGCATATATTCATTTTTTCCAGGCAGTGATTTTTTACTGCTATCACTTTAGGAATATATTCTTCACGTGGGCGTTTCGGTCACATTTTCGAATAAATAAACAAAAAATCTCCTTGGCAACGTGCCCACTCAGTCTGAGAAAGCTGAACCAACTAACAAACACTTTCTGGACGCTGAGTCAAGAACGTTACTAATTCGGGTCCATCAACACCCATTTAATCATTTAATAATGTGTGTGTGAAGAAAAAAATTTAAAAAAAATAGATTTTTTCAGTGCATGGCGCAAACGATGTTCCATTCATTGCAGTAACTATATCGGTGAATACAAGCTGATGAAGCCGCTTTTTCGATTATTTTTAGCACAGTAACCAAGTTTATTCTTGTAAGTAAGCGAGATGCTATTATATCATATAATATCGATATATACATACATATATATAAACAAAAAGATTAAAATATTAGATAATTGTATATACTTTGTCGTTTAGTCAGCCTGCTGGATTGGTACCTTCATCTATAGAAGATGTCATCGACGATGGCAAGTGAAAAACAACAGCGAATCATAGAAGCAAGGATCCAGGCTTCTCCACCGATCTAAACACTGCATTAAAATAGCATAAAGCACAATGCCTCATAAAAGCCCATAAATTTTAGGCATTTACCTTCATTGAGACAGAAGTATTTTGAGTAGCCTTCTGCTAATCCCCTGTTTCCGTACGCAAGAAAGACGATGTTCACCGCTTGTTTCCACTAGGCGCGGGCTTAGTTCCATGTGGTATGGTAAACCCATGAAGCATTCCGTGCAGCTTACCAGTAGGTCATGTGTTCAACCAGTTGTAATCCACCGTACCTCTTGTACGCTTTCGACGAGGCTCTGACGGCATTTGAAGCTTATCTAGATTCGCTTGCTGAAACCTCATCCCCTGATAAATCCGCAGGGACCTCACAGGTATGTCCAAAGTATAACGTCAACACGTTTTATCTGCCTATCTTGAATGGCTCTTGTCAAGGTGCTACTAATAAGAGGTTATAGCGGCATCGCATATGGGTTAAAAAAATTTTCATTTGGTGGATTTTAGTTAGAATTAGTTTTCTTTTTCTCTCAATTTATCCGCTCTTTAATCAGGTGTGCGTTGGTCGCTTCGGATGCCTTTTGGTCGATTACTTAAATCTTATTGAGGCGTGCGTCACAAATCATCCCGATTTAAGCGATCAGGTAGTCTGCATCAAATCACAACTCATTCGACATTATGGACAACGGTACGTTGTCATTTATGAATAGCTGTCAAATTATAGGCTCTGTTTGATTTGACAGGATTCAGAGTCTTTAGCTTCTTCAAAGTACAACCTATTTATTTTCGACTACCCAGGAATCACTGTAAAACACAAATAAGGCACAACAAGTGGAGATAATGGCCTACAACTCCAATAGGTGGAATAATATGTAAAAACTAATTTTATTCACACACAAACATTATGGAACATTGAGTTGTTGGTGGGACTTGGAACTGGTAACATGGTCACCATCCATAGTCACCATTTAAGTCAGTTTTAATAAAAGACTAATTAAATGACTAATCTCTGTCTGCTTACGATATACAGCAGGGGATCCCCAGGGCTAACAGCGCTACAGTCAGCTCTACGAGCCATCTTCGTCGAACAACAACTTCACCTTGGTACTCCTACATCGCCGCTTCGACCTCTTTCTCTCCAGCAATAAAACACGTTGTTGTTAAACGAACTTTTACAAAGCAAAGGCTGAGATAGCGAGTTCTAGGAGAAGTTAATAGACGCCAATAAATTTTGTATTGCCCTCCTTTTGGATCTTTTGGATTATTAATTACCTATACAAAACTATCAGAATTAAAAAAGACGGTTTGTATATAAGTGTAAAATGCTGCCCGTACCGTTTTCGAGAAGGCTGACGCCTGTGAACTTTGATTTCTTATTGCTCAGTTTCATTTTCCAAGCTAATTTCTATTAAATTTGTGCTTAAAAACCTTACTATTGACCTACGCTCGTTTTCTACAATTAATCCCTATTATCACAGGTTAATGTTTAAAATCGGTAGTTACGTTGCGACGCGCCAACTGTTTAACATACTTTTCTTGCTACGACCAATCGTCTTGTTAGTTTTTAATTGTTAAGATAGCAGTTATTATTATTACTGTCTATTAACAATAATTATTTTCCTAGTCGAATCAGCTACATCGTTAAGTTCTTTTACTTAATATTGACATTTGTTTGCCTTAGTCGTACCCCCTAGTAAGGTTTCATTTGAATAGTCTCTATAGAATTTAACGTCATAACACTGTCTTTACAATACATAATTTTTGATAAATTGGCCTTATTTCCTGTTGAAACGACAGCATTCATCACTATTCGCGGTACTCGTTTGATTTTAAAGACCACCCGGCCGTCGTTTGAATGCGACTTACGATCCTTCTCCGGCTGTGTTTACAAATCTTGATCCTGTAGTTTTCGCTGATTCACTTCAAGTGGTGTGAAGTTCGGTGTATCGAAAACTATAAAAAAACAAGGTTCCATAATGGTGCTTGAAAGTACAGTGGTTTGGTAAGTAAGAACCTCTTGTACCAATCGCCGGAATTTCTGTTTACAGTACTTTCGAGCAAAAATGAACCCTACCACCGCAACAGCAGAGTGATACGTTATGTTGAAAAAAATTCATTGCGAATGTCTCTACTAGCAAAAACTGGAAAGCAGACCGACTCAGCGCAAAATGTCGGGAAGGTCTCTTCTAAGCAGCTCCATACAAACGTGCAAAAGTGTATCTCCGCATTCAAAGAGTAATACGCTACCTGGCCGGTTTCTAATTTCAATTATAGTACATGTACAAGCGCCGTGATCTATTATTTCATCTAGTTTTTTTCAGCTAGTCAGGCTAAAGCCAAGTATGAGAAACACGTGTAAAGAAGCATTTTGAGGGTGCAATCTGTTTAGGTAATTTTTCAAAAGCAGTGACTATATATTTTCTGGTATGTGTTCTTAATAGACTGTACAAGATTTTTTACTATTACCTTAGGTTCGAGAAGTGACATTAATATCAACGAAAACCTCGAAATCAGTTTAGACTGCCCCGCACACATTATGGCTATTGGAATGACTTCATTTTTTCGACGTAAATGAATTTAAGTTGAGCTCGTATTTGGTGTAAGCCAGTAAGCTTGAATTAACAGACGAAATCGTCTAATCGCCTGTTGTCAGACATGTCGAATCAGACCAATAGCTAATAGTTTAAATGTGTTGTTCAATTCACCAATTATAGTGTGGATAACTCGGAGTACATGCGAAATGGCGATTTTCTTCCGACACGTCTCCAGGCACAGCAAGAAGCTGTTTCTCTGGTGTGCCATTCGAAGGCGCGCTCCAATCCGGAAAACAATGTCGGGCTGCTTACGCTAGCAACGACAGAGGTTCTGACCACGCTGACATCCGATGTGAATCGCCTTTTAGCAAAGCTGCACTCGGTTGAACCGCAGGGGAGCCTGCAGTTAATATCAGGCCTACGTATAGCGCATCTTGTTCTCAAACATCGTCAGGGCAAGAATCATAAAATGCGTATAGTTTGTTTTGTAGGTAAGTACAGCGCACATTGACAAGACGAAAAAATCAATTCAGTTCGATTTAGGCACCCAGTATTAAAATAAGTGTGGTGCGTAACTCGATAAATGCCATCATCATTATAAGGTGTATCAAGGATTGCAAATCTCAACGTGGAATACTAGATAGTGCTGTTTGAAGGATACAACTTTTTTTTAACAAAAATGGTGACGAGGCAGTTGTTTTAACTTAACGTTCATTTGATGCTATTAGTTGATTGGAGGAAAGTATTATGTGAAAAATAGTAGGATAATGCTAAATTGGAAATTTCTTAGCAAATTGGCTTGCATTCAAAAATACAAACAACAAAGGACTCTACCTCAAGAAAATCTCAACCTTGTGACTCCAATCATTTATTCGTCACTTATGCCTCTCTCCAATCGTCTGCTATATCATTATTACAACTCAGAATTTTCTATAGTTAAGATATTACAAAGGATTAGAAACTGAATCAACCGCCAGACGAATGCTCTGATCAGTCTTCAGATTATAAAAAAAAAAACACTAGCAGAAATAACGATGGTATCGAAGTAACGTCAGGCGTTGTTCAAGAATCAGCCAAACAAGAATGAGACACAATGGCGTTATCGCATTGTGGTACAAAAAGATTACTGCATCATAACTTCGTTGCTAAAGTATTCGTCTGATACTGTGGGACACTAATTTACTAAACTGCTAGCTTCTGAGGGACTTGGTTTGGACTTAATGTAATATTTTTTCATACAATAGAGAAAACTGGTAAACTGCGCTAATTTCAAGTTCCACGATTGAAGTGTTTGCCCGGAGGTGTACTTTTCGCACCATTAAATACTAATTCCCATTTTTTCCTCATTTCTATTGCTATCTTGCGCCTCTCGTTGTGCAGTTTTATAGCTGCGCGTAGCTACAATTATGGGAAAGTCTTCTACATAGGATTGTTTGCACTCTTTTCCGTCGGATGAGCTCCTGTACGGAATTCTAACTTACATTCCATAGCAACCTCTAGTATGGACTCCTGAAGCACGCCTGCTATGATGTTGAACTATATTGGCGTACGTTATAGCCGTTTTTTACGTTAGGTGGGCGTGTGGCTCATAACGCTTAAAATGGCCTGTCTGTTGCAAGTTTGAACAATTTCGGATGCAGAAGATTGTCTGTCCAACACAGCTCTCTCGGCGACTGCTTCCCTACCTTCCTATAGGTATTCCCTACCTATAGGTGGTTATCGACACGGTCTTATTAAAGACCGTGTCGATAACCACCTAAGTGAATCTTTTTTTTTTTTGGAGGTTAAGGGCAAATGCATTATGCAGACCAGACATCACTGAATTGTGATTTGTCCGGTACTGTGGGACTCTCACCTACTAAACTTTGGACTCCTTTGTCAGCTTGGGTCATGGTTCGGGATATGATCGATTCCTGTGGGACTCCTGCTGTGACCGTATATCTTGTCCCATCCGCTATTAGTGTTCTGTTCTCTAAGTATGAACTGATGATCCTGCGTAGATACTTAGAGATATCCTTTTCTTCCAGTGCTTCCATTAATTTTCCCCAGTTCATGCTATTAAAAGCATTTCTAACATCCAGTAGGATTAGCAGCACGAAATTCCGAGTCTTTAGTATGCTTTTCATCTCTTCCCTCGCTAGCCCGATGACCCTGTCCACAGCTGTTAGCGTACAACGGTGTTTCCTAAAGCCGTATTTGTCTCCGACAGTGCCTCTTTATCTTCAATCTCCTTGTTCAATCTGTTTACTATTATGCTTTCAATAGCTTTTGCTGCTGTATTTAGAAGGCCGATTGGTCGAAATGCCGTAACACCTATCTTATTTCCCGCTTTTCGAATCAGTACTAAGTTTGCTTCCTTCCATATATCCGAGAATTTTCCTCTCCGGAGTATGTCGTTCGCCAATTTTTGTAATATCCTGGGCTATCTCTTGATCAGTGTCTTGACTACTTCCGGTGGGACTCCGTCGGGCCGTGGTGCTTTCCCCGCTGCTATTTTGTTTCCTGCTTCTGTTATTTCTTCCAGAGTTACTTCGGGGATGTCTCTTTCATCTACCTCAATCGTTGTTTCATACCTTTTTGGTTGCATAGGGAATAGGTTTCTTACCGCTTTCATCACTGTGTCTGGGAGGATTGGTGGTGATCTTTTTTTTATTTTGTCCATTACTATTTGACAAAGGAGTCCGAAAGCGTCTCGGTCGACTGCTTCTATGAGTTTTTTCCAGGATTTTTCCTTACTATGTTGTATACTTTGTCTTAGTTTATTTCGGGCTTCCTGGTATTCCCGGAGTTGTTGTGTCGCTCTTTGTTCTGTTTCTGGTTGAAGATTATTTGTGCGTTTCTGCCAGCTTCTTGTTCTTGCGTATGCACGCCTTTTCCTCACGCATATTTTCCTGAGATCTGCGGTTTCCTTATTCCACCAGTGTTTTGGGCGGTGGTGGTGTCGATCTCTGGGCGGTTGTCGATCAGCTTTTGTACACGCGTCAATCATAAGCTGACTGAGTTGTTGCGCTTCTATCTGTATTCCTCCAGCTACCGTTTCGTTTACCATAATTTTCTCGCACCTTCCGTCTAACTCTCTTCGCAGTATTGGGAGGTCTAATTTCCTTGCTTGCCATCCTTTCGTCTTTCTCTGTGTTCCTTCCGGTGGTCTTGTTAGCTCAACTTTAAAAAAATATGTAGTGGTAATCACTGTCACTTTCTTCTTCGTCCAAGACTCTCCACCCTGTTGTGAAGGCTGCTGCTTCGTTGTTTACTAATGTGATGTCTATATGTGATGGGATGTTATGTTCACAAGTAGGAGCCTCTCCATCATTAAGCATTGCCAGTCCCTCTGTTACCGTCCACTCTAGGGTGGCTATTCCTCTTCGGTCGTTTCTTCTGCTGCCCCATATTACATTCTTCGAGTTAAAATCCCCTGTGACTACAGTCTTTTTCCCATTATCATGTCGTTGGAAGGGCAGGCCCGAAACAATCATGGGTCCGACATACAACGCCTGGAATTAACAGAAGTACAGGGAGTACGGTCCCCCTCGAGACCTATTGTTTCTGGTCAATAGGAAAGCCAGAATGGAGGATGGACTGGAACGGTTCAAAGGGAAGGATGACGAAATGACCGTTCCTGCAAGCCCTTCAGTGAATCTATCCTTTCGAAAGCTTTACTAGGTGAGCGGTGCCGTCAGTCAGCCTTCCACTAATTATCGTTTTCAGGGCCGTTCCGATTGTGTTTAAGAGACAAATTAGTCGATTCCCTACTGAGTCAACAGAAAGTTCTCCTGGTTGTTTTTATAAAAGCTGCAGTTATTTTCTTTCACTCTAGGGGGAACTAGTTTTTGCTCCGAATTCTGACCGTTATCGATGTGAACCTTTCAGGCTGCTCCAGGAAAAGGATCTGTTTAACTTAAGAAGGAATTTTATTTGGTCTAGAGTTACTCTGTCATAACGCCAATGTATTTTCGGTAGATTCAAGAGTTGTTCTTGCATTTGTATAAATGTCCATTGTGCCGCCAGTGTTCGCGTGGGCAGGGAAAAGCCTCGTCACCGCTTTCCCTACTATTTTTTTTGGAAGCGTCGATTTTAACTTTTTCGTTCTTTACGTGACGATCCCGCATGACTTTCTTTAGACGTTGCTCCCAACAGCTCCTTCCATCTTCGAATGGTTGATATAAATTTTTTCTTGTAACTGCGAATTTCTTCCATTTCTGTCCGTGTCTCCCTATCGTTGTGCACTGTCATCGTACCTTATTGCAGGTTTTCTTGGAAGTCCTCGATCCGTCCCGTCAACTAGTGTGTGATAAGGTACCTATTAGTTACATGAGATTGCTTCGTACGCTTCGTAATCATTTTTACTACAGATTGCGATGTGATGTGTCCAGTTTACTTGTACGTCATACCGGTTGAAGGGTATCGTCCCCCTACCTGACATCTTATCCATGCTGATTGCTATAGGAGTTTTCCTCCAACATTTCTGAATTCGTTTATACATGACATGATCACCCAGATAAGACAGAAGTAGCAGTCAACTGAAACACTACTGCATTGCATCATTCAGAACTTGACAACTCAGAGTCATCCAGTTTTGGCAGATCCCTTAGGTTGTAGTACTCTTCCTTTGCTTTAGTACGGTAGGTCATTACAGCAGCCAGCGTAATTCGAACTTTTCGAGTTGCTAGTCATCTCTGTACACCGATAATAAGGGCCCGATTTCTATCATTTAAAGAACAAGGTGCTTAGGTGGCACTTTTTTTGTACTCATCATTAGGCAATCTGAAATTAATTATGCGTTTCAAATTAAAAAGTAAAATAAAAATTAAAACGTTCAAGTGAATAATGAACTAATACACTAGTTATTTTGAATTCAGATACATTAACGACAGTAATAAAACAGTTGGAGTCATTCTATAGTAGTTGCAGCAGATATTACCATATATATGTATATATATTGCAGGGACGGACTCAAAGAGTGATGCTGCAAACTTAGTAATAGTCTGATGAAGTTAAGTCCAGCTAACTAACTTTTTTCAGATTGTCTGGTAGGTTCACAGCGAATTTTGAATCGGGCGCCATAAGCAACGTTGAGTCAGCAGTGATTTAACGGAAGAATGTAAACTAGCTTTTGTTTGGCACTTGTATGATTTAGTTAACTCGCACAAGCTTTAAAGGCTCATAATAAACAGTCTTAAACGTGGTCAGTTTAAACTCTTGTTTCTGGAAAAAGCTGAATGTGACCCAAACTGGTATGGGGTACGTGGGCAGAAAGTGGTTTGCTCTTTCTCCAAACGGTCACTTCACGTGCAGGCTAATTCTTTGATAAAAAAAATGCTGGAATTATTAGTGCAGTTAAGTAAAATCCACATGAACTTTTGCAAGATAACAGATGATACATCACTACCCGAATTAAGTGTTTCAAGAATCTAGCAAGCAATGATTACGTCAATCGGGTAAAAATTTGGGTTTCCTGATCATTCAACCGATTGCCAATTGATAAACCGTGTGTGCATGACCAATCATCTTTCGAAACTGAACGTTTGATAACTTTTTCCAAAGATGGTGATGGGTGATGAAAAGTGGATAAGATACATTACGCTACTCGACACAGATCTTGATCAAAGCGAGAAGAACGCGAAATCTGAGGTCGCGAGAGTCTCTCAGGCGAGAGCTAATGCCGAACCCAAAAAAGATAATGCTGCGTATTTTTTGAGATTTTAGAGGAATGCTCTTGTATGAACTTCTATTAAACAATCGAGGTGCTGTCCTTAAATCTATACTCTAGGTTAGGTTAGGTTAGGCCTCACACATCGTGACTTGACAAAGATTGTGCGAGTCTAATTGAGCTGCCTTACCTAGCGTATCACTCTTGACCTTGCTTTTTACGATTATTTTTTTTCTGATCCTTGTAGGACTCCTTTAACGACAAAAATTGGCTGTCTTTTGAAACAAAGATATTAATTTCTGGAAAGTTACTCGAAAAGCCGCCTGAAATTTGGGCAAGGGTCATCGCTAGTAACGACCAATATATCACTGATTAAAGTTGTCTGAGTAAAACATCGTTGAAAATGAATTTAAGATTAGGTAGAATTCCCCTGCGAACCAATGGGACGACTTCATAGTACTTCGATCAAATTGCAAGTTGGCGACTATTACGCGTTTCTAAATAAAATCACATTACATTATCTGGCTACTTATTTCCTTGCAGGTTCACCTATTGCATGTGATGCAAAGGAAATGGTGAAATTAGCTAAGCGACTTAAAAAAGAGAACGTCAATGTTGACGTAATTAACTTTGGGGAGGACGAAGCAAATGCGGAAAAGTTAAAAAGTTTTGTTGAAACGCTAAATGGTGGGAGAGAAAATGCAGGTTCGCACCTGGTCACCGTAACTGCGACACCCCACCTTAACGAGGCGCTGATTTCGTCACCGATTATCCAGGGCGAAGACGGCAGCGGCGCCGTACCAGCCGGCGGGTTTGAGTTCGGAGTTGATCCAAATGAAGATCCTGAACTAGCTATGGTAAGCAACCAGCCAGTCTCAATAGTGTTATCAGTACGAATACCATGACGAACGCATCAAGTGCAAAAAAGTCAATGTGTCTTTTGTTCACCTGTTTCAAGTAAGGTGCCTTACGGTGATTGATGATAACAGTAAGTCATTGTACAGTGAATCCATTAGTATAGTAGACGATAAACAGCGCAACATACTGAAGTTTGCTGTCAACGGCATTTTAAAAACCATACCCAGATCTTTATAGTGTTCTTAGAGCCAATGAAAAGGCCTTTAATTCGCATACGGTCAGTGCGTTTTTGCGTACCCGAGGTTGAATTCAATTAACGATAGATGTATCTGCTTTTCGGTAGGCACTACGTGTGTCCTTGGACGAAATGCGACAGCGTCAGGAGGCCGAGGCTGGTAGTGCCCCAAGAGAAAACATCCGATCCGCAACAGCTACTGCGGCCGCTGCGACCGGGGCCGCTTCAGCAGAAGAGGACGGGCTTGAAAAAGCGCTACAGATGTCGATGCAACCCGGAGCCGAATCAGGATCTACAAGCTCAAATCCGCCAGCTAGCCAGCGGGCTTCAGAGCCGAACTTTGCAGCCATGACAGAAGAGGAACAGCTTGCATACGCAATGCGAATAAGCTTGCAGCAACGTGAGTGAATGTTCTCCGAGCTTGTAGCTTTTCATCATATCTGTCCGTCTACATATATCCTTTTCGTTCTCTAAGTTTTTTTATGGAGCTGGTTCTGACCTCTAGGCGTCTGTTTTAGCTGCATCCGTAAAGTGTTGATCGTCATTTCAAGAATCACGCGTAGATGTCTGTATTAAGAATATGCACTGCGTTACTATTTTCAGAGGAGCCAATGGAAACTGATGACGTTGCAAAAAAGGATGTCGAGAAAAAGGTTCGTTCAAAAACTCGTGCTACATTTGTCCTCATAAAATGCTTATTTTTTATTGCATATATTTGAGTATACGCGTTAACTAAAGCCGCTGCAAGGTACACTCGATTCTTACTCTTCATCACCACACACTGTATTGACCACTGTTTAAAATTTTTTGCATTGTTTTTACTTGGCGATGCTTTCAATCATTTTTCGTATACCCAAAAACTGATATTGGACCTAAGCTGCTTTGGGACGAATTTGGCTTTATCTCGGGGGTATATATTCTGCGATAATAGCATATATTGAAAATTGACACCACTGTGAAGTAATTTTATGAAGCTTTTTTTATAGGGAGTAAATAGTCTTCGACAATCATAAGCCTAACTCAACAATTGTGTACTTAAGCCTCTTAAACGGAGGCTGGTTTCAAACTTAAACCTGTTTGCGTTGAAACCACATTCTGCCGCCGAAGAAAGCATCGCGAACTTGTCGAGATTTTCGGCAGTTGAGAAAGAACGAAATAGGAATTTTAGAACGGGAGACCCGAAACCAAAGAGAAAATTACCCTGTTCCTCTTGCAAGGAAATATTTCATAAGCTTTCATATCAGGAAACGTTTTTATACTACATTTGTTTTCGTGATGCCATTTATCATTCTTATATACGTAGGGGGTTCAATGCTACATAGATGAACGCACGATTTATGTAGATAATTTTTAGGAAGTGCACTAAAGTCTGACTTAAATGCAAAGGCGGCAAAGAATAAGGAAGCTGCCTCAACTAACGAGGCGGTTCCGACGCTTACTGCCGCTTCACCATCGAAGATTCCCCGCCCTTCAAAGGACAAGCCACCTACTACCAACGTGCCATGCTCAAAAAAGTCTCGAAATAAGAGTCTGAAAGAGAAAAAAGACAAGAACGATGACCAGGCTAGCAAGAAGTAAACCTATCGAAAGTAAAAATAGCATTGACCGACAGCTGCAAAAATGATACGAGTAACCGTGATGAAAGACAAAACCAGGAAATGGAGAAAACTAAAAAGGGATATCTAACTGTCTGTCAGGTTCATATATAGTAGGAAAGAAGCGTATACGGAAAGAAGGAATTGCCGAAGATATTCGAATAAAGCGCAGAGAGAATATTAAGGGGGGGGGGGGGGGGGGGTAGACTATTGCTAGTCACATCTTTAGACATATTTAGCAGCTGATTCTTAAATCATTAAGTATTTGAAAACTCAGCTGCTTTCTTATATAGCAAAACATTTAACGGCACCAATATCTATCAAGCCAAAAACTCAGCGACACATAAGTGCTTCCGTGTGTTGTAGGAGGTATAAACCAGCAACTAGAAAAGACGGGATAAAAGCTTTGTTTTATTTAGACATTAAGTCATCACTCATCTACCACATTTAAAAAGGTGTCACCTAAAACATATTGGATGTGAGCCACGATAGTTAGTCGAGCGCTTCAGTAATATTTGACGACATTTCTCTATACTTCGAGATTCCGACACTAGATTCCGAGGCTATATATTTTAACGTGTACTTTTTTCTTGTTAAAATGGGTTTACAGGAGTAGCGTATTCCGGCGATAAGTGACAACAAATGGATTAAACGCAAACAATTGTTCGTAAATAAATGGAATGTATTCACATAGATCAAACACTATATTCATCTACATACGCAACCGATTAAGAAGTACTGTGTGGTATTAGCTTAGGGTACACATATACATAAGGATTATATGCATTCTATGAATGGTGAATAAAGAAGCACTTAGAAATTATTTATATTTAAGTCAATACTTTATTTGTCTTCTCGTCCTTTGAAGTCGCTTTATCATTTTCTTGTCATATATATATTTAACAGCAAACATCTGCGTGTCAAGTAATCGTTAACATAAAGTATTACGATTTTTTCTTTCTTCATAAACTACAGACTCTATCTGTTATTTTGTCGTTGATAATACCCTTGTTGGCTCATGTATGAAGCGTTTCTTGTCCAAACCCCTGTACACGTACCTAAAGTTGAGCAGAGAAGCTGAATATCTACGTCAACCATATTTCCTTGAAGACTATGGCATTTTTCCGTATCAAGGCCAGGCGACAAATGCTAATCAAGGCCAGGCGACAAATGCTATCTAAGTTTAATGACAGTTAAATGCCGGCGACAGCCTCGAGGGATACAAATAATGCCGGCGACAGCCTCGAGGGATACAAATCTCAGTTATAAGTTTAAATTGACCATAATTATATCGTTCAAAAGTCGCAGCATGGTAAAACGGTCGATGTGTGTTTAGAAACGCAAAAGAAAAACTGAAATAGTCTTAGCAGCCACTGATCTAGAGTGTAAAAATATATTTAATCTAGACTTTACGACGAGACAATATACTCGGTTTTTTCAGAGGTGACCTGGAATTCGATAATAAAGAGACAGGCACGTTATAAACCTATTTACTCTGCTACCTGAAATCATTCGATGTTTTAATGTCGCACTAGGAAATATAAATCAAAATTATGATGATTTAGGTTTTCCGTCAATATTACTATTTGTCGATATCGTAGCTTCCACTTGCTCAAGATAAAACCAAGATGATATCGATCATTTTTTTTCTTTTTCTTTTTAATTTTTTATTATAATTATAAATTTCCATTTTGAAAATTAGTAAAATTTATCAATAAGATACGGCGAACAATAGCTACATAAATGTGCATGCTATATAATTATTAGTCACATACAAAATCTATGAAACAATAAATTTAGGACTTTAGAACCTTTTCTAAAATTCCTTTTATCTGGCTTTTGCTGTTCTGATAACTGGCTAAAAAATTCTTTCATGGCAGTGCACACTTCACATCTGTCTACATAAAGGTTAGGAAGAACGATACCATCATTGACTGCAATCAATAACAAAAAAGACTCGATGCTAGAAACACTAAGGTGTTTTTGTTGTACCTGTAGGTAAGCTAACTTCACAGATCACAATACGACTGTCTTTTTTTTTACAAGAGAACAAGTATTCTAGGATTGGTACGAAAGTTAGTCTGGTAAGTTATGTATATATACATATATGCATATTTTGTTTAGTATAGGGCTACGTACCGAATAATCTTTTTGACTGGACTTCCGGTGGGACTTATGCTGTCGGGTGACTGACTTGGAAGAAGCGCAAAACCTTCTCGAGAAATTAGGCCGTTTCTGCGATCTTCCTCAAACTGACGAACCATCAGTTCCAGATTGTAGCTAAAAGTCACGTCACAAGGAGGAACAACTAATTACTCATCAACCCACACATTTGAATTCAGTTGCAGTTTTATATAGTAGCTATGCCTTTGTAACAATCCATTTGCGTCAGTGGTGTCGTTAGCAGAATATTCTGCCTGCCGGAAACTATTCAGCGTAAATCAGCTAATGTAACAATCTAGTTGAGACCTTTCTAAATGAATATTCTTTTTGAATAACTTATAGTAAACAGTGAGAATGTTCACATGATTCTACTGTAACGATATACAATTGTTAACTTAAGTGATAACCTGCAATTGCATTAGTACATAAATGATGAGACTTATCGTAAACGCACCAAATCATGGAAGTGCAAACCTTAACTATCGAAATTATAATTACGTTAATAGTTTACCGTTCCCTGTAATTGGTGAAGAAGAGTCTCACTTGTGCCTCTGTTTTATTGCCAATTAAGCGAGCTACCGCCTTAAAATCTTTGCCGTAGACGCGAATCGAATGCACCGCAAGTATAAGCTCGCTATCTGTCCACGGCGTACCCGTCGCGCATTTATTGGCTGCAAGACTGCTATTGCACAGTCTACGGTACATTTCCACCTGAAGCGTATTTCAACAACTCAAACGGTTAGAGACAATTATTCATAGTGGTTATTACCTTCGTTAACACACTTGTTGCAACGAATTTCCGGTACAAAAAAACGAGGATGTACGTTTAATAGATTGATCGCAACATAAGATACTACGATAACGACTAAACGAAAATCGTGCATTAGAATTCTTGCATAGAGCCTACCTGTTTGTGGTCCTTGCTGTCAACTCTATTGTGCACGAGTTCCTCACTAAGTCTCGCTGAGGTCTCTTGGAGCTCAGCAAGTTGCTTTGAAACCGTATCATTTTCAATAACTTGCTCTAGTTCGTTTAACGTAAAACGAAATCTGTCACCACTTTGAGGTGGATCAATTCGCCGGCTAAATAAGATCCTACCAACCCTTGTAATGATGGGTCTGCTCTTAATACTGCGGCCATTTTTCTTTGGACTGCCTCTGCCCACAGGATTATAGTCCGGGTCCTGACTCAGCGGCGGGTCGGGTGTTTCGCGAATTTTAGTTGAATAGTAAAAATCTAAGAGTTGGACAATACTTTTATTTGGCAACAGGTCCTTGTAACGATGGAATTTTTTTTTGTGTTTTGAAAAACATTTTTTGAAGAGAACTTTTTCGTCATTAGTCCACCGAACATGAGGATTCCCAAGAAATTTTTTAACTTCCGGTTTAAAATCATCACTAGAGTAGTCGGGTTCAAAGAGTAGATCCGCTTTGTGGATTTCCGAACCATTAGTGTACGGGACAAGAGCTGGAATTTCAGCCTGGAATTCAGGCCCGACCCGAACACCACCTACAAAAGTTTCAACATTTTAGTTAAGGAGATTATGACCATTATTCCTGTCATTTACCTTATTTGAATATTGGGATAATTTATGTAAGCTTACCGTTATGATAGTATTACTGCTATTAACGTAAATATTTTAATATATCTAGAAACATAGCACCTGTTAGTTTTCCTGCAAATTGGCCAGGAAATAGTAGCAGCCTGCATGTGTAACCCTAACCCATGACTGTGAATATATATAATTGCAATAATCGATCGAAAATATTTCCGATAAAACTCACAAATATTATCTGTCCGTAAATATAACTAAATATATGCATCGAGTTCCACGTTTGGAAGTACTTCGTATGCTATCCAAATACGTAAGAATATCAGTAATCAACCAGTCCATACAGTTTTCCTCCTGTGTTAATCGTAAGCTTGATAATAAAAATGTATTGAATAATGATCCACATAACCAAACTGTTGAAATGATTGAACCTCGCATATGAAAAAATTATCATTACCGTCATAATGATAATAATGCGAATAATGCTCTAGTTAATATATACCAGAACGAAATGCACTATCGTATAAATATAGCACTTGGCCCAGAGTTTATCGGGGAACCTGCCTAAGCTTGATCAGGCTAATACCTCACCATCTGTACTGGGTACCACGCAACGCATTAGATACCATTCAATACATCAAGTCCACTGGCTTTAGTTAAAGGCCCTATCAAAGACTCAAATTTTTCCTCAAATATTCCTGTGAATCAAGACGTCTGGTTTATTTGTGTGGAAACCTGTTATCTACACATTGAATCGTTGCTAAACAACTACACAGATATTATACCAATTAAGCCTATAAATATTTTGGTGTCGTTGTTAAAGTATTCGACACGATCCCTCGAAGCGACAATTCTATGGAGCAAGCAAACGGTAATTCTTATTCACAGCGAAAATCAACATTGAATTGTACACAGCGTACGACCGCAATTCCTACGAGATCGCGTACCTCCGCATAATAGGTCAAGTACTTTTATGCTAAAACTAATAACTGAAGAAATTAGACATCGCTAACGGGAGCGGACTGTTCGTGTGTGACTTTTGTCTGTCGCCAAGGCCAGATCACAGCGCACTGTCCGGTCTTGTGTCTTGCTTTGAACAAGCGGACCAACAGCGCTTATCAAGACACACGATATCGCAACGAAGTACGAAACTACAATATTGAGGATTATAAACCTGAGGTGTGGACAACTTAACAGAATTATTATGGACATCCACTAATAGGAGATTTCCCCCAACTTTGCTGAGCCTGGAAATTGGCAGCCGCTCGAGCCCTAGCGCGAATTACGGCCGCATATTGATGAGCTGGCCTGAAGAATGCTATCGCGGGTTGGGAAGATTCGAATATCCTCACTCCTTCATGGGCGATGAAACAGGCGACTTGAAAATGGCACCAGAAAGAAGAAATCGCACAAACAGACCCTTGGAACTGGCTCCGTTGACACACAACTAGGATGAGAACACAGTTAGATCTGTCTCACTGGGACTGAGCGGATTCTCTTGTCATATAGCGGAAAATCGTCAAACAACGGGTGTGTTTCCAGTCGTTCAACACCGGACCTGCACTATAACCGTTGATCTGTCATTGTTGAGGCACTTACTGGTTTTCACATCGCCCTCGGCTCTAGCGCGGCGGCTGGGACGCGTCATCGACGGCGCTGGTTCGACTCCAGCGAGAATCGCGGGATACCTGGTCAACTCCCAACAAAGCGCTGTTCGCTCCCCTGCGAGATTTAAACGCACACGGTTGCCAGCTGAGCTGGCGACCGGCGAGATGGTGGCGACATCTGTGGGACACAGACCATTTATACGCATCGAAGTAGCCATTCAGCAAGTAGCTGCAACTTATTAGCGACTTCTTGTAGGCAGTAATTTTCATCGAGTAGCGTTTGTATTACAATACTAAGTTAATCTGGGTTAAAAAAGTAGACATAGAACTCACTAACCAATTAATGAGCACAGGTCAGCTGAGCGTTGGCAGCACCATTCCTCGGCTGCTCTGTGGCGCCAGACTATTGGGGATACTGAATATCTAGCTACCTGAGTTGAATGATAGTCTACTCATCTAGTGTAACATGATTGTATAAAGTTTGGAAAACCTCCTAATAATTGATTCGTTTCTATCGGCAGTTAGATATTCTGTGGATCGTTGCACATTCTAAGCAATTCCGTTGAAGCTCTAGCGTTCGTGCCCTCTCTTTGAAATGGTGACGGCGATTGGTTAAAGATTATAGATTAGGTTATTTTTGAAAATTATCTCTTAGGTACATAATGGAACACTTTAAAATTTGCCAGTATAGTTATTGAATTAAATGTTTACGATGATACGTTTACGAGCAATTAATAGATTAAAGTAAACCTCTTTCTTAGCTAACTAAATTATGATAATCGTATTTGATATTACTTAATCTAAAACTGAAGTCACAGCTCATACGTCACACATTATTTTGTCAACTTCTTAGAAATCGATGTTGTCGTCAGAAGATTGGAAAATCAGGCGCTTATTAGGAAAACGCCCATTTGACTTCCTTCAAATAAAAGAAGTTCATGTCTCTGCAAAACGTCCGCCTTATTAAAACATGGAACTGTCGTGCTGCTCCAACTGGACCGAATTAGCTCTGGTTCATTCCTTTAAAGTTTAGCTGCCAAACTACACTAGCGCATGTAATTGTTATTAAACTCCTTAAATCATATGTACAAAAAGCCAGATCACGGTAATTTATTTGTCTGCCTCGATAATATTCTGGCCGTCAACTGAGGCCTTATTTAACAAAAAGCAACGTGTGTCGAAATCGTCCTATTCGATGCATTTTGCCGGGCTGTAGATTTGATATCCGTCGGTTACTGAACGCCCGCTGTGACTACCTATGTAAGAGGGCTGACTGAGCACGCAGCCGAGCAGTGCCAGCGGACGTTGAAGTTTAGCTGCATCTGTGTATGTTATGGATAAATAGTATTGGGCGAGCTCTTCTGGTCAACGCGGACCCATTTCTATTGAAAGCCGCTCGTTCGGAGTGCGACGAAGTCGACAACAAAGTGTCTCTGATCGTTACTATCCGATTGCTAGCTAATCTGGTTTGAAGAGGTTACCGCTCTCAGCTGGCTCGAGTGAAGGATCTATTCTGGGACGGGCGGGAAGAGAGTCCGGGAGTTCGACACTCAGTCTTCTTGAGAAACACCACCGAACACGGTGATCTATGGCGGCGCAATAGAACAGGATGGTGTGGAGCGAGTACAAGTAAGCGCGGCTTTGTGATACTTAAGTACAACATAGAAAGGACAAAGCATACGGTATCACTTTCTTTCATCGCTAGTGTGGTTATGAACAGACGATGAGGAGTGGCTGACAACATTGTTACGTTAGAAGTCGTCTGGGCGACATCAGGCATAGAACGTCAACATTACACTATGGGTGAGTTCTCTGAAAGAGAAAGGTTGTGTAAAATAAGCCTCTGAAAAGCTGAAGCTGTATAACTTACTCTGTGACCCAAGTATAGTTAAGTCTAAAAAGCTAGGGGTTTCTACGCCTTTTTTCTTTAAGGTTCATCAGTATTGGATATGTGTATAAGTTATCTACAAATGTTTGATGTGAACTTGCTTGATGTGAACTGGGAAAATGTGTACTTGCTTTTTTTTTTGTTTTTGTTTAATGATGACATGCAGACAGTGAATCACACAGTGGTTAGTGTCTGCACCTATGATCTTGTATTTACTATGTTATTATGTAGTTAGTACATTGTATAGTCATATATGACTGACTACAGAGGTTTCCAACGAAATCAATGGATATCATAACTTTCCACGTTTTTACTAAAATATTTGCAGATGATTTGTACGTTTTTGGATTTATTTATTTAGTTTTTGGTGCTCGTATGTGATGAGATTGATGTAGATAGTTAGAAAAAAACAAGAATAAGGCTTACGGCTTATTGATTTTACGTGGTCTCCTTTTCAGTCGACTTTTCTTTCCTTTCGAGTAAATGAGTCATTCTACTTCTGAGTTCGAAATTAGAAATATCAGCCCCGTATTAGCAACGCCTATGTTCGATCGAACGAAAAGCCAGTGTAATTCTTCAGCGGTATCGGACAACCTGTTTTTTGTGTGCTCCTACTATATAGTACACTGCATATGGTAAAGTGGCCATCCAGAGCGACTGGCGATGCGACGACGGCTTATTACCGGCTATACACACAGCCAAAATTCAGCCGATCTGAACGGCACATATGTTCCTATGGTATCCGGATAGTACAAACACAATCGGTATCTTTTTCTGCGCTGACAATAACTGTCGTTTTGCGACTTGTCCTGCATTGCCTGGATTTACTACTGTCTGGAAACATCGGCGGCTAGACTTGATGGGTTGACCCGATATCGTTAGGGTGGTACAGGGTCGAGCCGATAAGTCAGAGCGCGAAAATGATCGTATATTATCAGGAGTAGTTGCTGCGACTACAGCGACACCTGTTTCTGTGACAACAAGAAATAAAGTGGTGGCACGCTAATCGCCGTAATTAGTCTCATTTCAGTTTCCCGTTCAACCTGTGGTGACGTGTGGACACTAACTATTGAACGTTTATATATGCTGCTATGTAACCCAAATGGAAGCTTCACAAAATAGAAACACCATCGAACGAGCGGCTATCGCAGCACACCGGCTGTAGCCGCAGAAGTTAATGGTGTTAATTGGACGGTGACTGTAAATGAATGGCATTGGCACCCATCTTCGTCACCTGACGGTGCAGACACAAACATAATTTGCCTCCTTCTGTTGGCCGACAGGCACGCAAGCAGACCGGTTAGTCCGGCGGTACAGGCTTCGGGGATTGCCATAGATGTACGCAGTCGCACAGGAAGAAGCTACATAAATGTGTGTGTGTGTGTGTGCAGTACTTTTGAAGTGAGTTACTAGACTGTTGGATGTAATATTATTTGTCGTTTATTAGTTTAGTGAGTCAGGACGCTCACCCAGATTTCTTTTTTGCTGACCAAGCGAGGCCATTGCTGGCATAGAGGCGCCACTCGCCTTTCAAACCATCTAATATTCTGATGCGTGTAGGGGTCGCCGTTAGTGTTGACTGTTTTTATACAATGCCGCTTATAATAGCGGCGTTGCCGCTGTTCGAAACAGGCAGGTTAGTTTGCGTCGACGGTCACAGTTGCCTCCATAATTGGCGTGCAAGGGTACGGGCGAAATATTTCGAAACGAAAATGATTGCAGCCTGTGCAAACTACCTTGAGCGATGTCAAACAGCGTTGACAAGGCATAACGATAGAGTATTTGCGAGTAACTACATGTAAAATAAAAGAGAGATAGAAATCGCTGCAGTCTGTAATAAATTTTTTTTATTGCGACTCTATCCATTCGACTTGTCGATGACTTAAATATTTAGTAACTTAATGCCGAAGTTGGCAAAGAAATTGGGTTTATACATCTATATATATATAGTATTGTTTTTGTTCTCCAATAATTAACTTAGACATGAAGGAAATAATATATAACGGAAAAACTCAGTTCCACGTGCGCTAGTAATGACAAAAATTATGGCATTGAGATCTCTCAAAAATTTACTCCGAATACACAACATGTCCAAGTGAGTGACTTTACCAAGCTTAGCCTTCATATTTACTCTCGGACTACAAGAAAGCTTTAACATACACAACTTATCGTGAACATTGTTTTCTGTTACGGTGATAGGTTGCCAACGATGACATTGAACATGCTTCATTATTAAACTGCTCTTCGGAAACGAATATGGCTGTTAATGGATTTTAATAGTATCGTGTTGTTGCCGCTTTTATTACTGCGTGATTTTATAGATTCAACGCTGTTATAGTTATAATAATTAGAATAGTTTGAAAAAAATATATATTATTTGTTTATAATTTGAAAAGTTACTATCTATATATGTATGCAACGGTCCACCAAAAACCCTGATGGTTGTCATGATCAATGGCACCTCCTTCGTTTCGTCCGAATATTCACCCAGATCTAAAATTTGTATCTATAAACATTTAACATTCTTCTTGACACATGAAACGCCTTAAAGATTGTCAGGTCTTCTTGTTTCTTATGAACGTGGATGGAATACATATGTGCATCGAGACGAATCTTAAGGGTATTATAGGGGATTGGTATTGGGCGTAACATCAAAATACCTATGAAAATATATGCATTTTTTTCATCTTTTTTAATCGAATTTTGGCCTTCACGTAGCGAGAGTGCTTTAAAAGTTACAACTTGAACTGCTTGGCCATGTATCAAACTCTTTGACTAAAAAAAGCGTGCACAGTATCGTATATTTGTCTGAATGTCTGGAAAGGCACGGTCTCCTTCCGCTAAAAAAAGCAGGTCTATATAGCGCTCGTTCTTACTCCTTGATTTTGTCTGAAGCCGGCGAGTTTTCTAGTGTGAACAGCTAAAAAAAGGCGCATCGAACCTAAATATGCTAGCAGGCTCCTTTAAGAATTTTACATTTTGCTTACTGTTCATGTTTACAAACGAATTTTCGATTTGAATGAATGTTATAATCGGTAGCCGAACTTTACATAAACTAATTTCGAATGTGTTGAATAATTAGTTGCATTGAAGATCGTAGAAATGTGTATTCTGTGTAGTTTGCTAAAGTTTACATAAGTTCTGTTTTGCGAGAGTTGTCATTTTACTTGGTGAGCACATATGTGATGGCAAGAATATATATATGCTAATTTAATTTGCATCGAGTTTCCTATATCCGATAAGGCCTCCTATATATTTGGCCAAAGAGCAACGAACCTATAATCTAGTCTAGAACAATAACGCGGGTTTACTGACCCTTCAAACAATATCTCAAATATTTACAGAAAGTTCCCTAATTCTAGATGAAATAACCAGCTATAAATCTGTATACGAGTTTTTAACAATTTAGTGATATGACAAAAAAAAATGATGATTAGTACTTAATTGAAGTATTATATTAAATCCTCTGAACGCCTATAAGTACCCTTATCCATACTATTTTTCATTATTAGGTGTAACA